CTTAAGGAAACGTGAACGCTGCATTTTCTTTCACTGATCTTAGCTTTCCCTTCACAGCTACTTGCTGAAACGAATCTCATGGTTTCGTCGATGAGATGGGTCCTTTGTACAGCCACCTATTGGGTGGGGGCATCTCCGTGGCATTTTTTTATACTAAGTAGGCTTGGAAAGTTTTAGATCAACTTATCCCGTTCGGGGATACTGTCATCTCTACGAATAAATGAGAACCACTCAATACGAAACTTTCTCCCTTGAGTTGAACAGACAAGACTTTAAATAACACGGGCCAGTAGAAACTCAATAACTGGTCGATAAGGCTCAAACTTTAATGATAATTACTGACTAAGCATCGCAAGCGCAATGATTATGTAACTGATCCGACAAGCGGGCATCCTGTGTCCAGCAATCCTATTCCTGCTGCGATGAAATAAAACAGCAACAACTTTGTCACTGGTCTGAAGATGAATATCTCGTATTCCTGGGAGGCAGCAAAGCAAGCAGAACATATATCACTTTTTTGACAACAAGAACCGAACGTGCGTTCCACAATATGTTGTTCAAGAACAACAACCAATCAGTTTAACATCTAGAAAGTGCTAATTCAACCGTGTTGGCTTAATATAGGAGTGGGGTTTTACTAATTATCTTGCAGGAATCTGATGTGAAACTAGCTATCACTGTTAACGCCTTTTTTCAAAACAAGGAGTTTAAGGCGTGTTATCCCTTTGTATTCTCAAGAAGACACAAGCTCTTGGATAATTTATTCGACCCAGACTACTTGCCACATATGCAAAAATCTCATCCTCCTAATTATTGGGATTCTGATGCTAATAAAAAAGGCTGTTTGAGAGCATGTAATGATAGCCTGACACGTGCAGAATACGAGACAATCAGTCAACTTGCCAAACTTTGAAACCTATATAAACGGTAGAACAGCTGCGAAGAAAAAAAACTATACCCAAAACTACTTTAATCAAGAAGAAGACGACTCGATAGCTGGAACAATACTTTATTCGCCTGCCTTTTCGAAATACGTCGCCAATTCATCATCAGAGACATAAGCAGCGAAAAGTAGCAGATACGGGTAGCATATGCAGAGGAGATTGCAGTATTTATAGGATACAGTCATTACTACGAAAATACAACGACAATTAATGGTAGTTGTCTTCGTGCGTGTTGATAGTTTGTTAAACGGCATGCGGGCTCTGAGCTGCTGAACTTTCGTCACGCGTGGTGAACTCGGGCTTGATGATTCCTCGGCCGTCTGGCCCTCCGGTGTTAGCGATTGCCTGTCCGTTCCCCATTTGGCAACATTTTATGGCCAAATTGAGTCTCAGCACCGAATATGGATTGGGACAATTGTTGCACTTGTTTATGGATTGAGGGCCCGTGAAGCATGACTGGAGTAAATATCTGCGCACCCGATTGTCATTTCTTGCGAGAATTTCGACCTCAGCAAGTTTAAATGTGTGGCCGGGTCTCGTCGAATGAGCCGCTACTTGAAAATTGGCATAATTTCGCCGTACTGCTGCCGTGTGTTCAGCAATTCGCGTTTTGAGATGTCTGCACCTTTCTCCGATATAATTGCTTTGCCCGCAATTGCACCGGATCCGGTAGACGACTCCAGACGTTTCTTGCCATGGCAGTGGGTCTTTCGGCACGGCAAGAAACATCTGGAGTTGTCTACAGGATCTGTTGCAGTTGCGGGAAAATTACCGTTAACTGTCGTTGTATGTTTGCAATAATTACTGTATTCTATAAATACTGCAAATTCCTACGCATACGCTACCCGTACCTGCTACTGCTTTCAGATTATGTCTCTGATGACGAATCTGCGACGGATATCCAAAACGTCAGGCGAATAAAAGTATTGTCCTAGAAATCGAGTCGTCTTCTTCTCAATTACTTCCTGGGACTCGCACATTCGCTTGTGTTGGCAACTACTGTAATCACAAAAACTGCGTAATTGGCTTACCACTCGTATTCAAATGCTCATGTGAAACAAAAAATGCACAAAATGCATTTGCAAATACAAATGCGAATACCCCACCCCATTTCAGTGTATTTTATTGACGCACCCCTTTCATATACAGAGAACCGTAGTCAAGCTTCGTATGTTGCACTTATCGACCTATGCTATCATATTTCGGTCCGTTTCCACGCTAATCAGTTAGCACTTTCATCGACTTTTATGCCTTCTCTGGTGACTGAGCACGTGGTGTTTTGATCCAACGGCTAGCCGTTACTCACCCTTTTGCATGTAGGTTGGAGTTTCAGTTTCAGTCTAAGTACATTTAAAGCGGACTGAGTGGCAAGTGCTACGCGACTGAGAAATATTTTATCCTTTTAAATATTCATTTTGAAATAGTCAACTTTTGTGCCTCGCAAAATCGCCTTTAGGCTGTTGACGTTGCATTTTATAAAGTGCACACCGACATTATGTGGCCCCTATTCTAAGACCCTTTATTTTGTGCTTTTTCTGGGGATGAGATGGGGAAAGTTAAATAATCGTTTTGCCTCTGCAGTCGGCTCCACTGCGCATATTTTCGTTGACAATCAGTTTCTTTTAATGAGGCAAATGCTGCGGATGACCGTGGGCATGTCCAGTTGATTTTGCACAGAACAGTTAAGCGAACAGGGTCTCAGTCAATCGCGAAAAGTGTCACGAATTAAAATATATTACTTCTTTGGGAACTACAATACACAAACTGTCATTTACGGTAGCGGCGGGTTCCTCACAGCAGACTGTCAGTAGACGAAAATTCTGAGAATCGATCCGGTTGTCGAAGTTCACTATTATATTTAAGGCAATAACTTTTAGTTTATCACTACCTTGCAGAGCAGCATTTTAATCAGACATATTAAATTATTGCGACTTTGGAAACAATCTCTTTTATGCAGATAATTCGCAGTAATGAAATATATATTAACCTTATTCCACTATTTCTGCAGAAAAAAGAAAACATGTCAGTTCAGAAGATTTATCTGTACGTTTGGTGTAGCAGCAGTCTTAGCCAAACCAATTTCTCAATTTCCAATATTTAGACAGCAAAGAATAGGCAGAAAGTTCAGGTTGTGGTTTAGATTAAGTGTCTGATATCATTTCATATGTTCTAATTCGTTTTAATATCCCTCAGCTCAGGACACTCACCGTAGAATTTCGTAAACATACTATTTTAATTCTAATTAACGTGCCTTAGTCTTAACGTGGACCCTATTCTTATTCATAACTCTATGCCTTCAAAATACGGAAGGTCTTTTAAGGGCTCTTGCGAATATACTTAAGTTACAAAATTTATGGGAACCCAAGGCCTGCATTTTTGATAATCTTATCGCCATTGTTCTTCGCTTTCAATTTTTGTCTTATCTCATTTTCTTATTGGGTATTACGGCCTACTATAGAAAAACATTAGAAAAAAGAAGTGTGAATCCGTAAATGTATACTTCAGTCAAATTGTTACGTTTACTGAAGAACGAACCTTCATTATAGTCTTTCAGTTCTAAAGCATATCACGTGACAGGTAACGTAAAAGATAAGACATAAGATTTAATGCAAACCAATATGATCGGAATATGCTATTGTGTGTTTGGATTAATTTAGACTGTTAAAGTCTACTCATTCTTGAGGTTGGCAAAATAAATATAATGGGAAAGTTGTGAGAAGAGATCAAAGTTGGATTGCTTCAGCTAATTATTGTTAGTCAGTAGTCGTATGAGACACCAACAGCATTTCTGTGATAGACGTAAGGAAATGCTCTCCATGATCCAGTTACAAAGAAGGCTAATCTGTAGAATGAGTGTTTTATTTCACATGACTTCTTAATGCTTTTTATGAGTTTTTTTTACTTCACAGATGGTGTAGTTATTCATATCTTTCAATTCAAATAAAAAATCGGCATTTTTCCCTCTCCTAATATCGTTTTTAAAGTCTATGGGGTCAATCGCAAAATTGTGAACAATCGGTAACATGACAGTGAAACTGATGATTGGATAACGTTTGGTTTTTGCAGTGATATGAAATGAAAAGACCCTAAACCCCAAATTCCGTCGAAAAATGCAAATAACTTAATTCTTCATTAAATCATGATAGGACAGAGTGTTCCCCAGTCGTGCTATTTTAAGAAAATGCCTTCGTAGCCAGAAACACAAATGTTTGGCATTTGGCATACAAAATGTTTAATGACCAATTCACCCAAGTTCATGCTTTAAGGGTCCGGCCAGCATTAGGGTTATACTGACTGATGACATCAAGTTTGATTTCAACCATAACTTCAGTTTTTATTTTTTGCCGTTCAAATGCCTCAATTTTGATGTGATGGTAAGTAAAAGCTTAATCATAGTGAACTCTATCAACAACAGAAAGGCCTTGTCCAAGTTACTGCATGCCAACCTAAATATTTTTATTCAAAAGAATTAAAGGGAGCCTTTCATTCAAACATAAATTGCGGTGGGTTTCTGTGCGTTATCTATTCTTGATCGATTGGAGAAAAACCCACTTATTGTAAGTTGCGTGCAATCCAGCCCGCATGACACTATACACTTGGTTTCATTTTACTTATAGAATGATTATGCAACCGTTTACCTGGCAAGTGCGCCGGATGGAAAAGGACGTGCTCTCACGGAACTGAAAATGAATGATGTAGAAGGATTAACCGGCACTTCCATGCGGGAAATTGCCATACTTCGCGGATTAAATCATAAAAATATCGTCACACTACTGGATGTGCCGAAAACAAAAGCATCTTCCACACTTGTCTTCGAATACGAAGTAAGTGTTGCTGATCTTGAACATATTCTAAGGTCTGCTGGAGAAACTAATAGGACATTCAACTGAAATATACTCAGAAGAACATCTGGCGATCATACGTAGTTTTCGATAAATTCTCCCTGAACCATTACATTTATAAAGGGTGGATGTAAAAAGTAACACGCTGGCAGGCTGGAGAAATGTCAACTCAGCGAATAGGTTCATGAGCTAAAATACTATGGTCGATAAGTCGATGACATCCTCGCCCTCACTCCAGCAGTAACCGATGTGCATTTGCTTCTTAATACTGCTACTCAAGCACACTCATCCGTCAATTTTGCTTTGGAGGTGGAGACGGCAGGTTCGCTTCTTTTATTGGATGTCCTCTTAATTTAAAGAACTTACAGTGGCGTCGGACATCGTGTGGACCCCGGTGAAGCATTTTAGGAAATTGATAAGGCCCCACCAAGCTACCCAAAGACCCTGGATCAGCGTCTGCTAGCAGCAGCAGAAGCAATGGCGATCCGGTTGAGGAAGCCGGTTTTGTGCGCGCAAAAGAGCCTCCTGCAGGCCCCCAGCTTGGCATGGCCAAAGGTTACATAACTGCCTGTATCCTTCTGCGTTTTCTTCCTCTTCCCACCCTCCCCCCCCTGTCCGGATTCAATAAACGCTCATTGCCTCGCAA